CATTGAAAGAGAAATCTTCTTTAAAAAATGGTGATTTGCCAGTCTTAGAAAGCCTGGTAGATACCTGCCTCCTCTTGAGAGAGATGAAGTACCAATTTATATAAACAGATTAACTCTAGGAATGAAAGGTGAAAAACATTATCTACATGAGAGTCCTATTTTACCAGTGGCAGAAGAGGATTTAGCCTTTTTAGTCTCCAGAAAATCAACTAGTTGAAGAATGAACAATGCAGCAGTTTCTCAAAATGTAGTTCAAGGACTACTTGCATCAGAATCCTATAGTGAGCAAGTTGAAAATTCAGATTCAAGGATTCCCAACTCAGCCTACTCAATCTAAATTTGGGGAAGAGAAGGCCCAAGATTCTATGTTTTAACGCTCAGGTCTAGTGATTCTGGTGCAAACCAAAGTTTGAGAGTCACTGACCTACAGAGTCTCTCACTCTCAAGATGCCTTTGATTTGATTACTGCCAGTACTATAATGAGTCCTTAGTCTACCTCTCTATGGTTGATCCTAAGAAATGAGGTCCAATTAGGGTCTAATAAAATCCTAGCTTTAAGGAATGGATTACTGATAGTCCTATTATTCTTTCAACAGATAGATATTTATTAGGGGCCTACTATGTTTGCCAGGCTCAGAGTCAGGCACTAGGTATACAAAAATGGATAAAATGCGGCCCCTACCCTCAAGAAGCTTATTAGAAATTTCCTATGGATCATCTAATACAATCAAATACATTAGTCATGAAATATAAAATGAATTGTATTTATTCTATGTCATGGTAAAAAGAAAAAAAGTGGCTAATAATTTTGTGGGTTTAGATACTCGTTTGTAACAATATCTGGAGAGTCCCTAGCAATAATGGATGTATTCCTCATGCCTCACTGTTAATGAATTGTTTCCAGCTGAGATCCCTGTATTCTGCAGGTGCTTTTTACCATAGGAAACAAGGGTGTAATCAGTTAATAAAGTGTAAAGAATTAGATTTTTTTTTTTCCCTCTAGCAAAATGCTGGCTGCGGCCAACATTCCTGATGCCTCCTCCCTTGTGCAATAGGAAAACAATATTCGAAGAGAGAAGCCTGTTTTGTTTATATTCTGCAACTTGCCTATGGAGGCCGTGCTAATGAATTCAAAACTCAAGCTAGAATTCCAGACTTTTTATACAAGCAATCACTGATTTTTGTCTTTACCATTACAGTATACAGAGGATAGTTTTCCCTCCTACCTCTAATTGAAACTCAAATAAGGGCAGTGTTTTGTGTTGTTTTCTTCTGTTTTTTATTGAGAAAATAGAAACTATGTTCAAAGCATTTTCATACACAGGCAGTCCCCTTCTAATGAACATTTGACTTATGAATGTCCCATATTCATCAATAGCCTCTCTTAAGGGACTTTAAGCTATTCCTACTACCCATGGAAGATGGAGTTGTTTCTGCTGTCTGCAGGAGTTTGTTTTTCCCTTAGACCTCCTCCTCTGGGAGCTTGAGCCTCACGAGTTCCCATCAGACCCTTTGGAATAATACGTGAGCGGGTACTACTACTGCTGCCACCAGGACACAAGAAGGTGCTGGAGGCCCTGCCAGAACATCCATAAGAGCCGAGCCCCTGAGGGAACACCAAGTTTGAAGGAAATTCTGGAATTGTAGTTGGCGATAGTAAGGAGGTCCTCCATTTGGACTTCAAAATTCCTTTCCCCTAAAAACAGCACTATGCTGTAATAACATAGCCTTGTAAAATGTAATTATCTGACAAATTCACCTATCAAGACCACAGCCAGGTATCGAGCAGTAAGCAAATGGCCTCTAAGCTGCCAGAGACTGTGCATCTTATTCACTGGAAAAGCCATTCAGAAACACACTAACTGCTTATTTATTCTGTTTGTACATGATTCTAATTAGTTTTAATAAGATTTCAAGCCTATAGCAGATTATAAACAACAAATTTGGAGGGACTGGAAAGGATGTTACAAGTAGGTGAAATGAAATCTGATAGTTGACAGCAGGGTAAGAGACAAAAAAGCATTAAAAAGAAGTTTAAGAACTCAAAAACCAACGACAGTGAAACACTGCTTCACATCCACAAGAATGGCTGAAATTAAAAACTGACAACCAAGTGTAGTGAAGACACTGGAACTCTCATACATTGCTGGCGGGAGTATAAAATGGTACGCTCACTCTGGAAATAATTTGGCAGTTCCTTACAACAAATACTTACCATATAACCCGGAGGTTCCTCTCCTAGGTGTTCACCCAAGAAAATGAAAACATACATCCCCAAAAAGACTCATATATGAATGTTCATATCAGCTTTATTCATAATAGCCCCAATCTGGAAATAACCCAAGTGTCCCTCAACAGGTGAATGCATTAAAAAATTGTGGTATATCCATACAATAAAATACTATTCAGCAATAAAAAGGAATGAATTACTGATACCCATAACAACATGGATGAATCTCACAGACATTATGTTGAATGAAAGAAACAACACACAAAAATCATACAGTCATATTGTATGATTCCATTTCTGTGAAATTCTAGAATGGGAAAAACTAATAGAAATCAGATGATAGAAATCATCTGGTAGAATCAGAATATCAGTGATAGAAATCAGAACAGTGGTTGCCTAGGGTGGGAGGTAGCACTGAAGAATGACTGGAAGGGGCAAAAGGGAAAATTCTGGGGTGACGGATATGTTCTATATCTTGATTTGAGTGGTGGTTACTAAGGTGTGTACATTTTTTCAAAACTCTTCAAACTGTATGCTTAAAATGTGTCCATTTTACTTTATATAAATTGTAGCTCAAATTTTCATAAGGTACAAAAATTTACAAAGGGAAAAAGTCCTTCAGAGGATCCCCCTGCTGTAGGATAAAGTCTAAATTCCTTAACATCATCTAGCCCTTATTTAATGTCTCTTGGCTTATTCCTTCCCATGCATCCCCACCTCCTACCACTTATTCTAAGCTACTTGTATTTCCAAAAACTGCTATTCTTTCTCTTTCCTCTGAACCTTTAAACACAATGCTCCCTTTGCTTGGAATTTCTTTTTGGTTTCCCATTCATCACTAAATCCTTGACATCCTTCAGGACTCACGGAGGTTGCACCTCCTCCAAGACTTGTCTACTTCCAGTCTGTATTAGGTGCTTTCACTCTTGCTCCCAGAGAACTTTATGCTTCTCTCTAACAAAGCATATACGGCTTTGTAATGTAATTGTAATTTTTTTTAAAAAACTGTCAAAACCATAATGGACTGGGGCCATTTAATGTACGGGCAAATAGTCTTCTACATATTCAGTAAGCCCTGAATTAAATCATATACTGCAGACTAATTTCTGTCCAAAATAGCTGAAGTAAGTTTCAGTGCTCAAAGTTATCAAGAAAACTCTTCTATCCAGAATGACTTGTTCTTGCAGAGTTGCAAATGATTGAGATCTTATTATAAATAGCAGTTTGGGTTTATATTATTATTAGTATGTAGCTTACTTATATTGAGGGTTGGGTAACTTTCTATAGGCTTTATCTGGAAACTTAGCCAGACTTTATTGTTTATTCTATAGGAAAATGCATTTTACATTCCAGTCAAGTGACTCAAAAGTACTGCTAAGTTGAACCATGTGAAACTACTGATATTCAACCATTTTTGTCATACAAAAATGGCAGTTTCATATGGTTCAAGCTAAATTTTTTTAAATATAACCCTATGGCAAGTTGGAGATTACCTATACATTCATTTATTAATTTTATATTTAATACATGAATATATTCTGCAAGATGCTAATCTTGAACATTAAGGTTGTTAGGTATACTTGTTCTATGTAAACAGTAAATCACAGGATTTTGAAGAAAATTTGTATAGAATGTTGAAGTTTTCTTGAGTCCTACCCATGTTTTTTCCAATTAATCAGAGATGCAGCAGACATGAGGATTCTGGATTGTTTATTTTTTGAACTAACGCTAGGATGAAAATCTGGATTTATGTCTTCTTTTTTAACCCCCAAACTATCTAACCAGTCTATTTTGAAGATGAATCTTAATCATAGTAATAGCTAACATTTATTGAGTGCATATTACATGCTGGATACTATGTAACCCTACGACTACTTTATGAGCAAAGTACTATAATTATCCCTATTTACAGATGAGGAAATTAAAGCTTGAGTAACTTGCCCAAGGTTACACAGCTACAAGTGGCAGAGTTGAGATTAGAATCACTCACTTCTACTACTCTGTCCACTGTTTACCTCAAGCTACATATTTTTAACCACAAAGAAGCACTCTTAATGAAAAGATTATGATTCAATTCAGCAAGTATATATTTAATCTGTGTTTATCATTAGTGAATCCAGGCCCATTCACATATGAAATATATTATTATGAGAGATCATCATAACAGTAGAGGACCGAGTACCAAAATGAGTCTTATAGACCACAGGTACCATAGGAGTTCTGTAGGAGTCTAGGAGAGGGAGAGAATAATCGTGTGCTTTGTTATGACTAACTCCCAGAAGAGCGTTAACATAAATGGTACCATCCAATCATAATTGCATGTACAGCATTCTGGGAACAAACCAAAAGTTCAGCACAAATAGGAATGTGGAAAAATCATGGATGTATAATAATGAAGTCCAAGAGGGAGTAGCAAACTCAGTTTAATTCTGGGCAGACGTCAGTAGCATGTGAGGGAAGTTAGAAATCCATGACTAGGCTCTCTGAACCCCAGAACTCTATGGAGAAATGAGATTTGAAGGATTACTCGTTAGGTATTCAGGGCAGAAGAGAGGGGATTCAGAGATTAACCAAAATTTTATTTCTACATGACTAGAATAATAATGGTATCAAAAATAAAAGGATTTGTACAGTGGAGGGGAAGATGGGCTCAGGCTTTAGACACACTGAATTTAAGGTGAAGGTAGACTGTCTACAGAAAACTAGTTTTTTATGTTGGCTATGGTTAACTGGGGTCAACCTTTAACTCATCTGCTTGTTATTTTTACAGATGGCCCTTCTGAATTTCTTCTTCCCTGAAGAGAAGTCATATTCTGAAGAAGAAAGTAGGCGTGTTCGCCGCAATAAAAGAAGCAAAAGCAGTGAAGGAGCAGATGGTAAGTCTACCTGGGTGATCTCTTATCACATCTCAGTTAATGAGAGACCCCTTCTGAGAACTACCTTCTCAAGTGTGCTTCACCATCTCATATATTGTCCACAAACCCAAGGTCACAGAAGAAGGTTTTTCCAGACTAGCCTACTAATCAGTCTTTTGAGAAAAGAACTGGCTATACGAGGATCCTCTCTCCTCCAATCCCAGATACTTTCAGTCCTTTCACAGTATGTCTGAGAGCCATGGTAACATTAGTTTCTCTCAAGATCACCCTCTATAAGGACCTCAACTGTCCTGGGGGCATCTCACATCTACTAAGGCCACCAAGAGGATTCATGCCTATTCTTGGAATTGACAGCGTTGTGCCATGGTGGCACTTACATTATATATTAATTCCAATGATAATCATGTCAATGTTGGTATCAAATACCATGCTCAAATATGAACTAGAGTTGCTAAAATTCATCTGTAAGTTTCTTGAGGGCAGGGATTCATTTCTCTTTGTATAACTCCAGAATCTAGCCTAGTATTTGGCAAATTGTTAGAGTTTGAAATGTAAGTTGGTGATGTTGAGTGTGCCTTCATCTAGATTATGGTGTGCCATGAAAACCGTCTCTATTGAGGGTGAAACAGATTTGAGTTAACCAGCAATGCATTTTGTGAAGCATAACAAAATGTTGAGCTAGCTCCTAGGAAGAGCCTTTGAATCTCTCTATTTCAACATCACTCTGTCAATTGACAGAATGCTACCTCTTTGACACAGGAGTTTGTAGAATGCATAGCTCTGGGCTGCTGCAAAGCCATCTGGACTCAAAGACAGCATGTGTCTGGCTACATCTGCCAAAGATATATGTCTGGGGAGTTTCAAAACAATATGACTTTATAAAGATGAGAATGAGATTTTTAGGCTGACATTTGTCAATGTGAGTGAGGGCCGGTGATGGAAGTAGTTCCAGAAGGCATGAGCTATTGAAGAAATGGGGCCAGGACTTTGTCAGTAGGGGCAAGACGAAGTAGAACTGGATGAAGTCTGAAAAAGAGCTCAAAACAAGGACCCTATAATTAAAAAAAGAGAGAGAGTCAGAGAAATTAGATAAGTGAGGTATTCTAGTCAATGGAGGTGGCAGCAGTATTGAGCCCTTGAATGGAGAACTGAACCAGTGAGGCCGTTCTCTAGAGCAGACACTTTGCATACAATTGATGACGAAGTTCAAGCCTAGGAAATGTGGTCCGTGAAGTAAAAGGCACCTGTTATTCACATATTGCTTGCAGCCAGTTTCCTGGAAAGGCCATGGTCTTTCCTCTCCTAATTGCTTCACCCTTTGATACATGTAGGTCTTTCCACCTTTGACTCTTCCCCTGAGGCTACTCCCAGTACCACCAAATCTTTCATATTCCCTGGTTGCTAAGGAGGAGAGGAGAAAGATGGTAAGAGCAACATCACCTTCTGTAGTGGGCATAGTCTTTCCTTCCTCTCCAAGTGGGAAGTCTGATAGCTTCTAAAGTTTACCTCTTCATCTGGTCTCCCAACTTTTTCTCTTAAAGAAAGCAGCTTCCTTCTCTCTCCCAAACCACTTTATCTGGATCTGGCTACCAATATCTCTGCTACTGATCTTCCTTACAGTATTTATTCTGTTTTGATACAAAAGTTTTTCTCTCTGGCCAAGGCCAAAGCCTCTCATTAATTTTTAGCACTTCTTATCTAATTTCTTCCTGGTCTGATACTCTAGTCAATCACTAGATTCTAATCATTTTGTGCCAATGCCTAATTTCTCATGCAATCCCAGATATTTTTCTTGTAACAGTATAGCTGGGAGGAATCCAAAAACCCCTTAAAGTTAGGAGCATAGAATGTCTGAGAGACCTGAATTTGATTACATTTCCAGCCTTTTACCTGGGAGGCTACAGAACCATTTCTTTAGATGTGGTGGGTACTCCATTGAGTTAAAGGGTGACAAGTCAACCCAAATCTCCTTTACTTTTGAACCATTTCTGTTACTCTGCTGAGTATCTGCTATGTTTATTCAAGACGTTCCTCAAATATTTGCTGAGAAAATACAGAAGCTTATATAATACTAGAATGGAAATGCCGTAGGATATTAGTGTTTGTCTATTTTGTTTGCTTTTACATCCCTATTGCCTAGAAAAGGGTCTGGCACATAGTAGACCTTCGATAAATATTTTTCTTTTTGCCCTCAAAGAGCTTAACTTCCAGTGTAAAGAGACAGACAATAAACAAAATTGGGGGTGATAAATGTTGTAGAGAAAAATATAAGAGGGAGAGAAAGTGACAAGGTGGGCTGTAAAGTGATCGGGGAAGGTCCCTCCTTATTAGAGGAGAGAGCTGAATGAAATGAAGGTGTGAGCCATGCAAATATCTGGGGGTGGGAGGGGAGAGAGGAAACAGTAAATACAAATGCTGTAAAAGCAGAAGAATGCTTGGTATGTTCCAAAAAGATCAGTGTGGCTGGGAACAAAGTGAGCAAGAGAGAGAAGGAGATGAGATCAGAGAGCAAAGTCCAATCTAGAGCCTTGTTGGCCAAGGTAAGGACTCTGACTTTTACACTGAGTGAAATAGGGAACCAGTGAAGAATATTGAGCACAGGAGTGACAAGATCTGACAATGTGCTGCAGGGAGAAAGGACAGAAGCAGGAAGACCTGTTAGGGGGTGTATAACAATAATCCAGGCAAGAGATGATGATGATTTTAACCAGGATAGAGGCAGTGTGGGTGGTGAGAAGTGGTCAGATTCTGGATAGATTTTGAAGGAGTAACTGACAGAATTTTCAGATTGATTAAATAAGGGGTATGAGAGACAGAGAAGAGCCATGGATGACCTCACAGTTTTGAACTTAAGGAACTAGACTAATAGAATTGCCATTTCTCAGATGGGTAAATACAGGGGAGGAGCAGGGTAAAGAGGTGTAGAGAAGGAATCAGGAATTCAGTTAGTCATGCTAAGTTTGAGGTGCCTATTAGATGACCAAGTATATATACATTAAATGGGCAGCTGGATATATTAGTCTACACTGTGTATCATTGTGTCTCAGGACAATGAGCTGACTCTGTTTTATAAAAATGAAGAACTTCTCGTTGAAGAAGTGAGTCTATGAACCATCTGAACAGAGTAAGAGGTAGGATGGGATAGGTAAATCAGAGTGGGGTGAATTAAGGCCAAAAAAACACCTATCAGGTATTGATTCTAAATCCACAAGTTACTTGATATATTATAATAAAAATGTAGCTTATCCAACTCAGGTTTGCATCACAAGTGTCAAAGAAAAAGCCATTTACCTTGAATATTTAAGAACATGACAGAGATTTCAGGAAGAAAACATTTTTCAAAAGTCAAACATAGAGATAAGTTTAAAAAGAGAGCAAGAAAATCAATTCTAGGTCCTTGTATAATTTTTTTGATTTGTTACTATCCTTTAATTTCACTTCAGTTCCCAAAACTTTGTTTTATTGTTATTTAATAAGCCTTCTAGGCACTACCAGAAGAAGTATAAAGATGAATAAGACCCTCAGAGAAGCTTACAGTTTAATGAGGGAGCAGATACATTTATAGGCAACAGGTAAAAAAAAAAAGCAAAGTAGTGAAGGTGGGTCCTGGGGTTTTACCTTACACAACACCAGTACACAGAAGACACTCAAGTATTTGTTAAATGAATGACTGAACAAACAAATCAGGGGAAGGTGTCTAGATTTTCTATCTTGGAACTACAGATATTAAGCTTGATGATCTTCACTAATCCTTGTGGGAGAAAAAAAAAATTCAACGAATGGTTCACTCACACTTAGGAAAAGCAAGGGACGTGTAGTGATCCATAGGAGCCTGCATAGATTCACCAGGAATAAATCAGGGTACAGAAGCCTATTTTCCTGTTTACACTGGGCTTCTTAACTAGTTGATTAGAGGCATAACATGGGCATAGTCTATCTTGCCTTAAAAGAAGTCAGTAGCTATATCCAGAGCATGTCCCATCTTTCTGACCCACCATTCAAGAAATGGTTGGATTCATCTCAATTTCTCCAATTGAATTACTCTATAAATGAAGACATTGACTAGGAAGCAGGAGTTCCAAACGCAGGGTTAGTTCCCCTTTAATATAAGTCTTGGCACTTTATGACTTCAATTCTTAGAAAATGAGTGAAGTCTTTTTCTTTACTACATCTCTACCTTAAATTTACTGCTCTTTTTGTGAGCTGGCCAAAATATTTGATACAGGTTTTAAGTTCATTTTTGCTAATTATATGAGGCCTTTTGGTTGTTGTTCTGCAAGGAAAGCATGACCCCTTCATTGTAGGTGTTGTGAGTCACAACAGTTCCAGAAATCTGTACCAGGATTTCCTGCTGAGACCTATCCTCATGATATGTTTCTGAAGTAATGATAGCTCTAGGTAGCTTGCTTGGTCATCTCTTGCAAGGTACTCCAGAAATCTGTAGAACTTTATTTTTTAGTTAGAATGAAATGTAGAATATATTTAGAGGGTCATAAGGTCTTAGAATCAGATAACATGAATCTAGAATTCCCACAGAGGTAGTTTCCATGTTTTATAAATATTATTGTAAAACTACCTGTTGTCTTCCTGTAGGAGCATTTTCAGGAATCAATCAAAATATTAATCTTTCCACACCCGCCCTCCCTGCCCCATCTTTCTATCCTAGTAAGAGAATAAAAATGAACATGCATTTCCCCTGATTGGTTTGTTTGGTCATTCATTTAACAAATGAACATTCATTAAATGAACATAGTGTAAGAGAAAAGGTCCCAGACTCAGTTGCAATTTCTGGATCCCAATCCTGATGTCACTGCCATCTTACCAGCCATGTGACCTTGGAGGAGTGACATCCTTCTAAGCCTCAGTTTCTTTAGCTGTAAAATGGGAGTAATTAGACCTCCTTACCTCACACAGTTGTTGTAATGATCAAAAGTGTTAATGTATGCAAAAATACTTTAGAAATTATTAGCTGTTATTACTATGTTCTCTCCAGAAAATGA